TTCTACATATAGGTAGTACCAGGCAGTAGTTGTTGTCCTCTGTCTGGCTTCTCTCACTTAACATAATGCCCTCGAGGTCTATCGTGTTGCAAATGGCAGGATTTTCTTTTTTCCTGTGGCTGAATATTCCATTTTCTGTATATATATATGTACTACATCTTCTTTATCCATTCATACAGTGACAGACACTTAGGTTATTTCTATGTCTTGGCTATTGTGAGTAATGCTGCAACAGACATGGGACTGCAGAGATCTCTCTTGAAATCCGAATTTTATTTCCTTTGGATATACACCCAGAAGTTGGATTGCTGGATCATATGACAGTTCTATTTTTACTTTTTGGGGAACCTCCATACTTTTTCCATAGTAGTTGTGTCAGTTTACATTCCCACTAACCACACAAGGGTTCCCTTCTCTCCATGTACCACGTTTGTTATCATGTTCTTTTGATGAGACCTGTGTATATAATTACTTATCCGAGTGGATATTTTTATTATTTTTTAGCTAGATCACAGTTTTGATAATGAAGTACAGAAAGGAAATATTTTACCACACATGCATGTACATCACTCATGCACATTTTTTGTAAGAAGCCACTTGACAGCTTTCAGAGGAAAGGGAGTTATTTTAGAGGAAGTCACTATTAAATACTGGTATCAAATTAATTATTAAGTTAGGAGACATAAAATCTTTTAAGTCTGCTTTTTCTTTGTAGATATTGAAGACTTGCCCCCAACAGTCCAAGAAAAATTATTTGATGAGGTGCTTGATAGAGATGTTCAAAAAGGTAAACATGGAATTACTTTAATGTCTTTCATCAATTCAGTAAACTTTTTGCTTTGTTCTATAAAAGATTTGGAATAGTTTAGTGTATGGCTAACTTCTTTATTTTTACTTTAAATTAAAAATATTAAGGTCTTAGGAATATTGTCATTGTGCTGTTAAAAATGTACATTCTGTCAATTATATCTCAATAAAATTGGAAAAAAAACAACTAATTTACAGCTCTTAACTGTGATAGAGTGATAAAGACATAAAAGTTTTAAAACTTCCTAATTTAAATTCTAGAATGGGTTTTCTGTTTCCTATTCTAGAATGAGTATTTTTCCTTAATAATTTAGAAAATAACTTGTCAAGAATTTAAAAGTTAAGTAAATTATTCTAGAACCACAAGATGTTTCAGTACTTTCAAAAAGTTTATATTTCAATTCATCAAATTTATTTAGGTGTTTATTGCACATAAACCTGTCATCTACAGAATAGGTTGTCTCTTCCCCTGAATAGTCCTTCATTGCATTGGCATGAAAATGAACATACTTACATTCCTCATATAGAGTTAGAAGAAGAATCTCCAATAATAAATTGGTCCTTGGAATTGGCTACTCGTTTGGACAGCCGACTGTATGCACTTTGGAACCGGACTGCAGGAGACTGCTTACTTGATTCAGTACTACAAGCTACCTGGGGCATTTATGACAAGGACTCGGTGCTTCGGAAAGCCCTACACGACAGCCTGCATGACTGTTCACATTGGTGAGCTGGCTCCTTTCCTGTGTAAATCCAGGAGTGTACTTGCTGGATAATCTCCTTATAGTGGTGGGGTACTTCTTGTCTGTTTTATTTTCTGTGGGAGGGAAAAAACGGGTTTTTGGACATTGAGATACTTGGAACATCTCAGAGGTTCTTAAGTGTTTTGGCTGAGCTTTAAAATAGAAACACATGAAGGTGTTATAGTAGCTTTAAATATTAAATTACTTGCTCATTTTTAAGTAGTTAAAATGTCATATTCTTGTTCATCTTTAAGAGATGATGTTGACATTGTATCAGGAGTTTTTTTCTTCTTGAGGCAGATAGACTTAAGACCACATTTTTTATTTTGCAAATTTTGAAACCCACAAAAACGTTAAAAACAAAAACAAAAAACAACAGATCCCAGTATCTTCTTCATTCAGTTGATCAGCTATTAACATATTGCCATGTGTGTGCCATCTTTCCATATATAAATACTTCCTTTGCCAATTATTATAGACATCATGTTGCTTTACCTTCAATATGCATCTTTAAAGCACAAGGTTATTCTCCTACCCAATCACACCCTTATTATTGCATCTGAGAAAAATCAGCATTGACTCCATTACCCAACACATTCCATATCATAGTCTTCAATAATTTCAACAATAACATTTATATATACAGGTTTCTTCCACTCTTCAAAAGTACAGCATGCCTGTGAAACCTTTCATAAGCCAGAATGGCATAAAGCAAGAAGCAGTTACTGTGTTGTAAAAGCAAAATTCCTCTTGAGGTTTCTTTCAGTGAAAACAGGTTCTAAGGTAGGTCTTGCATAAAAATGAAGTGGTTTAAGGTGAACTTTTGAATAGCAGGGAAAACCTATTTAAATATAAATATAAAAAAATACAGATTTTTTAAATCCAGCATCTAATTGAGTATGTGACTAGTCTTGAACTGTAAATTTCCCCATTGAGGTATCAGTCACTGGAAACAATGGCTGTGTTGTGAATTAGTAGTTTGGTCTTTACACTTATTTGACTTACAGTATTTTCTTGGTTCTCTACATACATTATCTTAGTTATTATAACTGAGAAAATTGAGGCTTGAAAAGGCTAAGTTAATTAAATGTGCCTTTTCATTTTCTCCACACCTAATCGATGCTTACACAACAGTGATAATGGCCTTACCCCAAATAACCTTATTACCCTAGTATCTTTGTGTAAATTTTGAGCAGTTCCTAGTTGTAAATTTTGTTGTCAGTATTTAGGGTTTACATGAAGCCCATTAGAATATAAACTCCAGGAGAACAGAGATTTTATTGTGTTTCATTGTGAAAGATCTAGTGCCTACAATAGCATGATAAATAGTAAGTATGAAGTAAATACTTACTGAGTGAAAAAAGAGTACTCTAGAACTTGAAAATGAGAGCAATATAGTTACTTTCTTGAGAGCTAAATTACAGATCAAAACATAATGCAATAAAAATATGTGGTCACTGGAGGAAAATAAAGTGACTCCTCGGCTGGCAAGCCTAGGTGGTCCCCTGACTGGGTGTGGAGTATAGGCACACGTTCAGGATTCTGTGGGTTTGGTTCCAGACCACTGAAGGAAAGTGAGTCAACTGATTGTTTTATTTCCCAGTGCAGTAAGTTATGTTTACAGTATGTTGTAGTGTAGTAAGTGTGCCATAGCACACTTGGTTAGAAATGCAATGTACATACCTTAATTTAAAAATATTTTATTGCTAAGAGACGCAAACCATCTTCTAGCTTTCAGCCAGTCCTGATCTTTTTGCTCAGTGTTGATGGCTGCTGATTGATCGGGATGATGGTTGCTGAAGGTTGGTTGGCTGTGGCAACTACTTAAAAAGACAACAATGAAGTCTGCCATATAGATTTAGTCTTCCTTTCAGGGATCTCTGTAGCGTGTGATGCTGTTTGATAGCATTTTCCCACAGTAGAACTTCTTTTAAAAGTGGAGGAGTCAAACCCCTTCTCACGCTGTGCTGCTGCTTTATCAGTTAAGCTTATGTGATATTCTAAAACCTTTATTGTCACTTGAAGAAAATTCACAACATCTTCACCAGGAGTAGATTCCATCTCAAGAAATGACTTTCTTTGCTCATTCATAAGTAGCAACTCCTCACCATTCACGTTTTATCAGGAGGTGGCAGCAATATAGTCACATTTTCAGGCTCCACTTCTAATTCTAGTTCTCATACTATTTCTACCAGAGCTGTAGTTACTTCCTTCTCCTGAAGTCTTGAACCCCTCAAAGTCATCCATGAGGGTCGGAATCCACTTCTTCCAGACTCCTGTTAATGTTGATACTTTGACCTTTTCCCATGAGTCACAAATGTTCTCTAGGACATTTCTCACAGATGGCTTCTAGAATGGTGAATCCTTTCTAGAAGGTTTTCAGTTTACTTTGTCCAGATCCAACAGAGGAATTCACTGTCGGTGGCAGCTACAGCCTTTCAAAATGTTAGTTCTTTAATAAGATTTGAAAGTCACATTAACTCTCTGATCCATGGGCTGCAGAATTATACTTGTGTTAGCAGACATGACAACCACGTCAATCTTGTTAAACATCTCCATAAGAGCTCTTGGGTGGCCTTGTGCATGGTCAATAAGCAGTAATCTTTTGAAAGGAATCTTTTTTCCTGAGCAGTGAGTCTCAATAGTGGGCTTAAAATACTTAGTAAACCATGTTGTAAATAGTTGTGTTGCTATCCAGGCCTTGTTGTCCCATTTTTAGAGCAGAGGCACAGTAGTTTATGCATAATTCTTAAGGGTCCTAGGATTTTCAGAATGGTCAGTGAGCACTGGTTTCAACTTAAAAGTCACCAGCTCCATTAGCTGCTAACAAGAGAGTCAGCCTGTCCTTTGAAGCTTTGAAGCCAGGCATTGATTTCTCCTCTTTAGCTATGGAAGTCTGTGGTGACATCTTCTTCCAAAATAACCTGTTTTGTCTAAAACCTGCTACTCTGGTGAACCTACAAATGATAAGAAAGCAGAACAGCCTTATTGCTGACATAGAGAACGTTTGAGTGGTCTGGATAGAAGATCAAACCAGCCACAACATTCCCCCAAGCCAAAGCCTGATCCAGAGCAAGGCCCTGACTCTCTTCACTTCTGTGAAGGCTGAGAGAGGGGAGCAAGCTGCAGAAGAAAAGTCTGAAGCCAGCAGAGGTTGGTTCATGAAGCCTAGGAAATATGCCATCTCCATAACATGCAGAGGTTGCGGCAAGTCATCCAGAAGATCTGGCTAAGCTGATGCGTGAAGCTGACTACGCTAAACAACAGACTTTGAATATAATTTCCTTCAAGGACTTTTCCTTTGCATCCATAACTTGGCTGACTGACCCCATAGTCCTTGCTTTTGGCCTGTGTCAGCTTTCAACATGCCTCCCTTACTAAGCTTAGTTATTTCTGACTTTAAATTAAATTCAGTCTTCCTTTCACTAGAACACTTAGAGGCCATTGTAGGGTTATTGATTGGCCTCTTTCATTGTTGTGTCTCAGGTCTCTTGCCTCTAGGGAAGCCCAAGAAGAGGGAGAGAGAGCGGGGAACAGCTAGTTGGTGGAATTGTCAGAACACAACATTTATTAAGTTTTCTGTCTTACATGGGGTGGATCATGGGTGCCCCAAAACAGGTATAATAGTAACATCAAAGATGTTGGTCAACTGATCACAGATCACTATAAAAAGTGTAATAGTGAAAAGGGTTGAAATATTACAAGAATTACCAAAATGTGACACAGAGACACAAAGTGAGCAAATACTGTTGGAAAAATGGTGTCAATAACTTGATTGTTGCAGGGTTGCCATGAACCTTTAATTTGTTAAACACAGTATCTGCAAAGCACAATAAAATGAATTGTGTGCCTGGATCCAGAGGAGATGGTTTAGTCACTCAGCCTTTGTCCAAGGAAGAGGCCTTTGTGCCTTTTGGTGGAGGGATCACTATGAATTGGTCTGGTAGTTTGGACAAGACCATTCCTATTTTTGTAAAAAAAATTTTAATTAAAGTATAGTTGACATACAATGTATTAGTTTCAGTGTATAACATAGTGGTTCAACAGTTAAACTTGTTATGTGGTTAAATGTAGTTACCATCTGTCATCATACGAGTTGCTACAGTATTACTGACTATATTCCCAGTGCTGTACTTTCATCCTTATCATTCATTTACTTTATAGCTGGAAGTTTGTACTTTTTAATTTCCTTCTCCTATTTCACCCATTCTGTCCACCTCCCAAGACCATCCTTTTGAGGCGGCATCATCAGGCTGGTAAGCCTGATGCCATTAAATGCTCAGTCCACCCAACCCTCTTGATGGGATTGTGTGCTCACCAGGCAACATCCTAGTGAAGTTTTTGCGGCCTATATGAGCCTGCCTACACTGAGAGAGAGGATGGGAGTGGTGTGGTTCTTATGACAGTGGTTTCTGGGCATTGTGCTTTTTACAGGTCTGCCTTGTTATTAGTTAATGTGACTCTGCCCCAGAAAGATCGATCTGTTCTCTGGGTGTGGATGAGGTCTAGTTCTTCAGCCTGAAAGCCCGATCTGGACCATGGTAAACCTACCAGCTTGCAGGCGCATTACAAAGGCAGTCCTGGTTATGTCAGTTATACCTCAATTTAAAAACAAAGGAAAAAAAGGGCAGCTCTGGAGCCTTTTCCCTGGTGGTAATACCCTGACCTTTTGTAAGGCTGGAAGATGTCTGTGAACTTAAGCAGGTGATACTTTGTTTCTAATTGCGAGGGCTTTTTTTTTTTTAAAACTTTGGTGGCTAGTAATAATTTGGGGACCTATTCTGTTTCTCACAGCTGGCAGTGGGTGATCTTCTGGATTGGAGCTGCCACTAACTAACATTGTATTGAGACTGGAATTCTGAGGTGGTTTGGTCATTTGTGATTGTGAAAGTCAAGCATAAAAGTAGAGAGAGAGTACCATCATCCCAGGTGATAAATGGGCTGGATGGGGGCGTGGCTGTTAAGAGCGAGAAGGAATGTGTA